TTTTTCTGCACTGTGTTTTCACTGTTTGTTATTGATATCGGCTGAGAAATTTAGCATCGGTGCATCTGTAATAATAATAGATATAATGCTAATGAAGAGCTACATACGATTATCACATTTTGTTGCCCCTCTATTTTGCCCCCTAGTGGAACAACAGAGACTAGCTCTTTTTTTTGCTATCATTTAAATCGGTTATGGTCCACAAGATGATATTACTTTAGAACGTGGACTGTAAATTCATTTGGTGAGCCAGATTAGAGTCATTATTTGGCCGGCCAGCTGGCAATGGTTTTTGCTGACCTAATTAGATGACAGACTGAAAAAAGTGCAATTATTTTTCCTTTCAATAGTCATACACCATGTCCTATCAGCAATGAGCATGTGGACACTGTCCATTTTGATTGAATGTTCATGTTTATTTTGTTGTTTTTTTGATTGCTGTTGTGTTTTTGGATTTGCTGTTGGGTTTTCTGAGTTACGGTTCTGTTTCTGAATCTTCTGTTGTTTGTATTTTTGGTTATGCCGTCGTGTTTCCGAATATATACGCATTTTTGATTTTCCAAACTGTTACAGTGTTTTCTGATTTGCTGTCGTGTTTTATGTTTTTTTTTTTTTTTTAAATGTGTTGCATTCTCTGGTCACTATAATCACAAGGTTTTGAAAAAATAAATAAATAAATAGAACTGGTTTGTAGTCATCTGGGAAGGTTTTTAAACTGTGATTCAGCTGGAAACATTCTATCCAGTCTGCCAACCCTGATATCCACATAAACATTTCCTTTGCCAGTGAGTAAACATAGTCACCGCCTCGTTCTGAATAATAGATCAGAGTTCAGAGATAATTCATTTCCTCGCACTGATCTGCGATGAACTTAATCACAAAGTGTCCTTAAAGTATTCAAACTCATTTTTGCTCTATTTCATTTTTGTATATATCTGTCAAATGATTATCCTGACTTGTTTTATGAAACTCACTGAGGTCCAGCATATTACTACAATGTCCTCTCCGAAACTGATCAAAATACATTAATAACAGTGGTTTCTGCATAGAACAATGTCGTTTACATTGTTTTTGTCAACAGTTATATGGCCAAAAGTGGAAATCTGACCATCACACCCATATGTGGTTCTTCCCCAAACAGTTGCCACAAAGTTGGAAGCACACAACTGTCTAGAAAGTCTTTGTTTAATGTAGCGTTACAATTTCCTTCACTGGAACTAAGAGGCCCAAACCTGTTCCAGCATGACAACGCCACTGTGCACAAAGCGAGCTCCATGAAGACGTGGTTCGAGAAGGTTGGACTGAAAGAACTGCAGTGCCGAGCACAGAGCCCTGATCTCGACCCCACTGAACGCCTTTCGGATGTACTGGAACACCAACTGCACCCCAGACCTCCTCACCCAACATTAGTACCTTACCTTACTAATGCTTTTGTTAGCTCTGGAACAAAAACTTTTACTAACAAAATGTCTTCTAGCCTGCTTCTAGGAAGAGCTGCTAGTTACTTAAATGTTGGACTTAAATATTTTTTTACTTATAAATAATAAGTGTTCTGTGCTCACACCAGGACTCCTTTTCACAGTATCATCATGCCAATTTCTTATCATTTAGTACTGTTTACCTTTTCTCCATACCATGTGTACTTTAATGATCAAAAAGTGATCCTTTTCCACTCAAGTTTTCTTCTTCACAATGTCTCACTTTCTTATTTTTTGAGATAAGATGTGCATCCTTTTGGTCACAGGAATTCCACAGAGCCGTGTCTGCCATCTGCTTCTCCATGTAGTTTAATGACTACATGCTGGTACAGCTAGCATTAGCATAGATTTCATGTCAAACCTTTTCATGTCAACCACCTCTAATTTTATATAATTAGCAAAAACATTTTGAGATGCTCATAGGGGTGAAAACAAGCCTGACCTGGCATTTGTATGTCCATCCTTTGTTTGAAGATGCACATACGGACTCAAGTCTCATAAATATGGACTCCCTCCTGGGACAAAAATGTAATCATCTTGTACTAGTAGGATTTCATCCACCTCCCCCTCCTGTATTGAGCATGCTGGTGGTGTTGGGGAGCGGGAGTAGTCCAGGTTTGTGTTGGAATTCCCACTTTTCATAAGCCAATTAAATTCTTTTGTATGATCCCAAAAGTCCACAAGTGATGTATATCACTGTTTGTGGTTTTCACGTTTCCTTGCAAACAGCCTGAAGTGCAGGACATTTTGAATGCAAATAGCACAGGATTCTACTAGCACCAAAGATCCACGGGCCTGAAGTCACTATTAAAAACAACTGGGATGCTGTGGGACCTTTTGGATTCCATTAGAAAACCATTTGTGTCCATGACTGATCACAATTCAACTGCTTTCCAAAGCGTCAAATACAAATCACATACGAACACTACACCCTAGTACATGAAGCACATTTTCAGATGTTGCATTTGCTTCTCGCAATCATGCGTGAAGATCACTGTGCAGATATAGCTGAGTGAGGACATCTGGAGCTGGAATGTCATGGAGACTTCGAACATACAGAATGGAAAGGTGATGAATTGGTGTAAATTGGAGCAATTACATATTTTTTTTCATTGGACTTTGGCAAACAGGGAACATGTCAATACTTCTAGGTTGAATCCACTGTTCAATTAAGTGGAGTAGTATTAGTCAATCCAGCATATGTTGATGCAAGACATTGGAAACATCTTGGAGGAGAGTGTGTGTGGTTCTCGATTGAGTTTGTACAATCAGGCAGAGGGAAGAACACTTTTTTGTTTATTTATTTATTTATTTATTTATTTTTTGCATGTATCTGAACCACAACAGAGCATACTGAAGGGATATGTCCAATTTTTATAGCACGTAGCTATGAAAGATGTTAAGATGTTTCTGAATTTGCAATGTTATTTGTTTTGCTGTTGCATTTTCTGACCTGCTGATAATTTTGTTTTTCCCTTGTGCTGTTTTACATTAGATTTTAAAATGTTTTTGGTTTTATTGTTGTATTTTATGGTTTGATGCCATGTTTTTGGTACGGTAATATGTTTTGCACTCAGAAACCACTGGAAATACAAGGTTTGGGAAAAAAAAACTACTTTTGCTCATAGATATACAGTAATTTAGTTTAAATCTAATATGGCCACAGCTGATATGAACTGGTTTGTGGTCAGCTGGGAAGGTTTTTAAACTTGTATTCAACTGGAAACATTCTATCTAGTGTGCCAACCCTGATATCCACATAAACATTTCCTCTCCCAGTGAGTAAATATAGTCACCGCCTCGTTCTGAATACTACATCAGAGTTCATAGATAATTCATTTCCTCGCACTGATCTGCGACGAACTTAATCACAAAGTGTCCTTAAAGTATTCAAGCGTGTAAAGTATTTTTACTGTTTCATTTTTGTATGAATCTTTCAAATGATTGTGTTGACTTGTGGTGACTGAGGCCCAGCATACAACATTGTCCTACAGTGTCCTCTCCAAAACTGGTCTCAGTGTATTAATAATAGTCTTTTCTGCATTGTATCTTACATTATTTTTTTGTCTTTAAACATATTCAACAGATACACTATATAGCCACTATATAAAAGTGGACACCTGGCCATCACACCCATGTGTGGTTCTTCACCAGACTGTTGCCACAAAGTTGGAAGCACACAATTGTATAGGATGCCAACTTAGCAAAGTTAGACTGGCTGTTTGATCTTTGCAGGCAGAACAAAATATTTATTTATTTATTTATTTATTTATTTATTTATTAATTACATGTTTAATAGAATTCAACCACAGTGGCGTCTGCCTGTTTTTTTCCAGACCGCCAGACATTTGTGGTTGTTTCCAGTTAAATCCGGCCATTATTCTACACAGAGATTTATCCATTCAAAGATGACCAGCCATGAGGTTATAATCATAGGCTTATAATTCTCATGAGTCCACCAGTTTCCAGCAGCTCAAATCTATGGTAGGTTGAGTCTAAATCATCTCACCCACTGTGTAATAATAAATATCTTTTCACACTGTACAAGGTGATGGCAATAAAATCTGGGTCTAATTCTCTGGCAGACTTTGTGATATACCTGTATGTTATGATCACATGTGCTGCACATCAGATTATATGATACATTCTCTCACAATAATCCTACAGTACAGTATTGCGCCCATTGCTGACATTTTAGACTTATAGCATAATAGTAGCGTTCACATTCTGAAATTTTGGTCCAAAATTTCTCACCTTGCCAGAGCTTGATGGATCGGCCATATTTGGTTAAAATGTCAGTCGTGCCATTTTAATCATTCTGAAACCACTGATTTTCACTTACAACCCAGGATTTCTTGTATGATTCTTGTATGATTCGTGATATTTGTCTGCGACAGCATTATCAGCTGATTATCAAAGATGCCTACATAAGAAATCAATGTGGGTCCAGTAGGAAAATGTTGCTACCTCTGATGAGTTAATTAAACAGTAGCAGTTTATTATCATTTATTTTATATTATATACCCATTGTCAGTCAGTGTCTCACTGAGTTTTTAAAGGAATTGACTTTTTTAATTTATCATAAACTAACCTCATGAAGAAATATTTAAACATAAAACAAAGCAATAACATATTGGTAGTGTCAGGACTAATGTAGATATTTCAGTTATAAAGATTGTGTTTTTTTGTGAATAGTTTCAGCCAAATGGTATAATGGTAGCTGCATTGATGTGCTAAAGGTCACAGTATTCCAGTGCCAAATAGTGACGTGGGTACAGATGCCATTATTTGTGTCTATATGAATTATTTGTCGCTTAGTATCCATACTTTTTCGGATTTGCAATGGCACCACTGGACATAACAGTGCTACAAGGTTATTGACTGTTTATGAAATATTAACTGTGTGCGAGTTTGCATATGCAAATACTTTAGGCAGCATGCACAGGGGCAAAATTTTATATTGGCACAGGGGCCTGTCACTTCTTCCACTCAGGGAAGTGTTAAACGTGTTAAAGGCTGGGGGGTATGGTGGCTTAGTGGTTAGTATGCTTGCCTCGTACCTCCGGGGTTGGGGGTTCAAATCCCACCTGCACTCTGTGTGCGCAGAGCTGCATGCTGTCCTGTGCTTCGGGGGTTTCCTTCCCAAAAAAATATGCATTGTAGACTGATTGGAATTTCCAAATTGTTTGTAGTGTGTGAATGAGTGTGTGTGATTGTGCCCTGCAATGGGTTGGCACCCAGTCCAGGGTGTCCCCTGCCTTGTGCCATGAGTTCCCAGGGATAGCTTTTATGGTGACAGGTAACCTATGACAGTGTACAGGACCCATTTATAACATTATCCACTTTTTTTAATTTCACATATGCAGCCTGACCCTGTCAGTGAGAACATGCTGATACGGATGTGAAGAGATGAAAAAGATGGCAGCGAATGTGAAGAACATACTTTTTTACTGTGAGACTATCCGACACTGATGCACTTCACTGATGCCATTTTATGCCTGTATGCACAAGGTTTTCCCGCCGGATGAGAGACATTCCGGAGACAAATGTTTCTTTTATTTTCCATTAGATAGACTTGTGCATTTTCCATGTGGAGATGGTTGACTGAAATGGTTTATTTTTCAGTTGGATTAAGATGGACTGAATAAATGATGGATGAAAACTTTTTGTTGAAAGAATATCTCAAGATGGACAATATGCTGCTTCATCTTCTATTTGACATGCTTGTGCTTTTGCCAGGTGAAGATGGTTGTATGAAATAGCTATTTATTATTATTATTATTTAAATTATGATTAAGATGAACTGTTATAGATGTTAGAGATGATGTTGTTGTTATCGTAAAATATACACCAAATGTTATTTCACATAGCGGTAAAGGTAGATGGATCTAGTTAGACTTTATAATGGCCAGGGACTTTTTTTTTTTTTTTTCTTTTTTCATCATTAGTATTTATTGGTACTGACAATAACAACGCATAAATAAATGCTAGTTTTTTTTTTCTCCAAACACGGTTACTGACAGTTGTGTTGAAAAGGTGTCACTGAGAGCACTACATTAGATTAATGTTCTGTGGGAACAGGCTGTGTGATTTAGTCTTCACAGGCAAGGTTTCTCTGGGAGTACCTTAATATACCCAGGTGGTGTTACACCTACTGAAGACAATTTACAGTTGAAGGAGCATGTGTAAAACTTTGACGGGTCATTATGAACCCCCTCTAGGACTGGGTGTCTATAGTATGACAACATTACCCAAAATGACAATACATGAGACCTTATGAGACGAGACATATGCTCAATTATTACATGATATTGCACTGATGGGCAGCCATGATAGCTTCCCAGATAATTAAAACGATAGAGATTTAGAGGCTAGAGGCTCAAATGTTCCCTCTTGACTACCTAAACAGAGCAATGGAAACTATACCACAGGAATTAAATGTGAAAGAACTCTAATTAATAGTTTGATCGAAAGGTCTATTAAGTGCTATCCCAAGAACTGAAGCAGACAAAAGCTGACTTATCATAAAAATATTGTAGCATCTAGTGTACAAGGCATAATGCAGAGGCCCAGAGCTCATTTTAAAACTGATGATTCATTATAAGGTACACACTTCACCCTGAAACTCGAACGTGCCAAATTGACTTGATAATATTTTATACAGACTGTGTAACAGCAACTGAAGCAGCCTAAACTACTCCAGAATGGGAGTTACAGCACCACTGGGGGAATAAGAAGGGTGAAACACATCTCTTTTGGACATGTAAGCTAGGGAAAGCTCAGCAGAATCCAAAAGGGGGGAAAAGAACATTATCCAAAGCAATCTTAAACAGAAACTCAGAGAAAGCTGCTATGGGATCAAACAACCTGTGCCTGCTACTATAATACAAAACTGCTTTCTTCAGACCTTGCAGTCTTACTTGTAGAACTGGTCTCCAATAGTGGTCTCTATGGTAACCTCCAGAACTAATGGACAGATTTAAACAAAAGTGTCACCAAAGCAGTTAGTGTACAATTCTAGTTAATGTCATCTATATTTAAATTTTAATATTTATATTCTGGCAAAAAGGAATTCTTTCATGAAAGCAAGGCATACACAGATCAGCCATAACATTAAAACCACTGACTTTGGGGGGCGTCACGCGCTGGACAGATCAAGTCTGATCCATGGATGCCCCACCTCGCAAACGTACAGGTCTTAAAGGATCTGCTGCTTATGTCTTGGTGCCAGATACCACAGCACACCTGCAGAGGTCTTGTGGAGTCCATGCATTGACAGGTCACAGCTGTTTTGGCAGCACAAGGGGGGTCTACACAATATTATTCACGTGGTTTTAAAGTTATGGCTGATCGGTGTATGTACAGGTAATTGTCCTCTGAGATGCAAAAATAGCAATAAAAAGCAATAATAATAATAATAATAAACTTTGAAATTAAATTTAAGCTTAAACATGAGGACACTGAGATTTGATTTTCATGCAATCTTTTCCTCATACATTAAAAGATTTATTAATTTATAGATTTTTTTCCCTGCAAAACACATCCCTACATTGAAGCCCCTTTTGTGAAGCCTCTACCAGAGAGGATAAAATCACTGAGCTTACGATTACATTTACAGCATTTACAGAAGTGTTTGTCACATTCTCATGCTAGTTCATTAGGTCACGGATTAAGAGTACCATCAAGGGTACAATAAATAAATAACAAAGTGCTAATATTAATGAAAAGATAGGTCTTTAGTCTTTTTTTGAAGGCTCAGCTGTTCAGCTAGCCAAGAAAATTCATTTCAGAAGAGGATATGTTTGTCTCCGAGGAGACAACAAGCTGCCCGCTGTGGTTTGCCCTCACTCCTCCCACACCAAAAAAAAGGGTCAGGCCTGGATGCCATGATACACATGTGGCTGAGGTCACCTCTGTACACCTTTTCCTTGATCGCTCTGCTCCCACAGGCTCTAGCGAGAGTTGTCAAGATCATGCTACGTCTGCTGCTAGTAGCACTGAATTGGCCTGCGAATTTGGTTATTGGAGATAATATCTCTGCTGGACAGCACTCCCTGGGAGATTCCCATTCACGGGGATCTATTGCATCAAGCCAGACGGTTGATTTATCACCCTCAGCTGGAACTATGGAAACTGTGAGTCTGGCCCCTGAGGGGCACCAGTTCATAGATTCCAGTCTCTCATCTGAGGTTGTAGAGACCATGATAGATAGAGTTCCATCCACGAGAAATTGTATGCCTTCAAGTGGCAACTTTTTTATTGTGGTGTGAGGAACACCAGTGAGACACAGTAACTGAGCAATAAGCTACAATCCTGGAGTTCTTACAGGAACGTTTCTCGGCAGGGTTGGCTCCTTCTACACATAAAGTCTACATGGCTGCCATTTTGGACAGCCACACCCCTGTTGATGGAGCCTCTGTGACAGGCCATATCCTCAGTATGACGGAATGGGTATACTCGTTCCCACAGCATGAAGCTCACACAATGTTGAGTTCCCTTCGAAAGGGTCGCATTGTCATACTGGGGTATGCCTGTAAATTGCGGCTGCGCTTCAGACAAAGAGAATCTACCAGACAAAGACAAAGATAATCTGAGGATGTGGTTTACAGGTGCCATCTAATAGTCACATGACACGCATTATGCCACGTCGTCTGACGAAAGCAGGATTATAAATATGCATGATCTTACCATACTTCAGATACCGGCCTCGCAACATCTCATTCCCTTCTCAGGGACCAGGGTTACATGCGTAACCCAGATGTTCTCGTTGCTATTGCCAGATTAGACTAGCATCGATTCCAGAAGCAAACATAATTGGCTAGGCAGGAAGTCAAATTATAGCTAATGGTAAATGGTAAATATTGTTTTAGATAACTTACGTTTCACATGAAAACAGACATAACCTTAATTTCATCAGTTAAAAACATCTTTTTTTACTTTTTGTTACTTAGAACGTAACAGAAAATGACTTTCACTTGAGTAAATGTTTTGACTGGATGCTTCCACTTTTCTTGAGTTTGGCATTTCCTGTTGATTCACATGTGTCTAAAGTATAATTTCTTTGTCCATCCCTAATACTTAAAGTCCCTTTGAAGTGCCTTGAAATGTTCAGCATTATTCCACGTGTTCATCCAATTCCCATTGAAACAGGAACTCAAGGTGGGACATATCAAGTGGCTTCTCCCCCTTTTTAAGACATGAGCTGGCACAAAATCCTCCTTCAAAGTGAATGAATTCAAGCCATTTCCTTTTTATTTACTGAATAAAACATGTGCGTTTGAACAGCCAAAGGCACATTTACGAGACCCATGCTTGCTGATATGATTTCTGTTGCTCAACAACAGCAGCTTCAGCAAGAAGATTGGACTGGAGGCAGGACACTTCAGATTCTAGAGAGCATTTGATTGGACAGAAAATGTGATGAGAAGCTGAAGTGCAGAATTATCTGTTCAAAATTGTTGTATTGGTGGCAGAGAGTCGGACTGTATATCTTGAGTGCATATATAGTGCTCTCCACAAACATTGGCGCCCTTGGTAAATATGAGCAAAGAAGGCTGTGAAAAATTGTCTTCATTGTTTAAACTTTTGTTCTTTTGATCAACTAAATTCACAAAAATTCTCTGTTCTCTGTGCTAAATTGAAACTATGAACATGTCCCCCCTCACCATCCTCTTCACTGTGAAGGAGTTCAGCATGTTCATATCTACAAGGCAGGAATATTCCATGGATATGAAGCTAGGGAAATATTGATTATAGTGTATATTTATTATTACATGTAGCATTATAGTAACTAGTGTATATATGCTTGGGGAGATTAACTTAATTTGTAAAGTGATATAGAGACCTGTGAGTAAAGGTAAAAATATCTGATTGAATTAAATCCTGGAGATAAATAGATTTTTTTTTTTATAAAAAAAAAAAAAGGTTTATGGATAACCGTGCTTTTGTTCAGCCAAGACTATAAATGATTGATACACTGTGTTTGCCAGTTGCAAATGAAGCAGCTGTTTGTCTGTCAGTATTAGCTGGCACATTTTGAAGGCCAGAATATACATTTCCACATAAACAAAACTGCCAATACAGCAGTTTTTAGCA